GTAATTTTTTTTTTTTTTTTTTTTTTTGAGATAATTTTAGTGATACAAATTTTACTAATTAGCCCATAGCTGATGGAGAAAAGGTGGATTCATACCTTCCCCCCACAAGGGTATTTGCTTGTAAGTGAATATAACAAACCCAACTTCAATTGGAACTCAGCTCTTCAATTAATAATTCCGACCCATTATCAATTACACCACCTGCACATCCAAGCTTACAGCACCCAGTATTCCCAAGTAGCCATTCATCTAGGTAGTGACCAGGCTCAGCACTACTTAACTTTCTGTTCACACGGGAACTAGTGTTTCAATGTGATGTGGCCATTATCCTTTGGGAAATTACATCATGTTTTATACATTTTACAGTCTGGTAATCATCTAAAAAAAAATATGAGCTATCAGTAATGAGTATCATCAATCTTGCACTGGGAATTGAACACAATTACCTAAAGCTTTTAGTTCAATACTAATTTCAATACAAAAACTAAATCGAAGATGATGGGTGGAAGAGGTGTGGTGGCTGAAAAATCAGCCTTAGGGTAAACAACCGAGATAGAAGAAAATATTTAAAACTAATTCAGAGTGTAAAAGAAAATGGAAAAGAAAACATGTTTTCTTTCATTATTTTATTATTATTATTTTTTTTTTTTTTTAATACGATAAAGAACTGTATTGGTTAGAGAAATAATTATCTAAAAGCCCAAATTAAAAAAACAAAAACAAAAACTAATCACCTTTAATTTAGTGGTTGGTCTCGTTTTCTTTTTCAGAAAAATAAACGACTTGAACATAGGAATTCAATTTATACAAAATAATTGAACAATTACAAGTTGACTTTCACATAGCAAGTGCACAATCTCACAAAGTGCCAGAAAAAAGAATTTCTTCTCTTTACTTGCTCATTAGATTCTCCCCCCACCCCACAAAAAAAATTACCCATGCTCAAGAGGAACACATCCCTATTCCATCATGACACAGTTAGGTGAAGAATAATGAGAAACATTTTTAAATTTCCTTTGTGAGGTGAGCTTTTGATTACTAAAAAAAAATAAAAATATGCTACAAACTTTCTGTAAGAAATCAACCTCGAAAATCTTTTTTAGGAGAATCAGGATTTCATAGTAAAAATTTATATCATGACACCAGTAATGAAATCCATCCTTTTACATATTCTTGGTGGGTGAGATATTTCATAGTAGTTTGGGTTGAAGCACAGTCAAAAACCAGTATTTTGCATGCTTATTTGCCACACTGGTAGGTAGGCTAATACTTCCCCCTTTTCAAAGATGATATAACACCCTACCATCAAAAAATATATATATATATATATATATATATATATATATATATATATATATATATAGCACAGAGTGCAGATGTTAATAAAACAGTGCTCAATGTAATATAACAGAGCTATTAAGTATATATTATTAAATATATAAGCAATAACCCAGCTATAATTAATAACAAGAACAGCTGAAAGACAAGCAGTAAAAGGCAGAAATATACAAAGTAAAAATAGGTTGGATTATTTTGCCCATCTTTTACTGTGTGTTCATTTCAATCCAGGGCATAGTTAACAGATTTCTTAATTAGAGATCAAACAAAAGATTCATGATTGTATAATTTATTTTGATTCATATGATATTGAATTATTTTGCATGTACATGCCAATGAATACAATAAAAAATAGAAACATTAGTGAAATCTTGTTAATAAGAAAATAAACATATTTTTCTAATCTCAACTTGACTTCATATTTTAATAATGACAGATAAATTGTAAGGAGAAATGTCATGGTTATAATTTAATATTAGTATCACATTTTGACTTCCATTTTCTTAGCTTGCTTCCTTTTCAGATGAAGGAATCTTATTTAAAAACAATGTGTACATTATTCTGTGAAATGCAATTCACCTCCTGGTAAAATCTTTTACAAATTTCTTTTGAGCTCAAAGGATCTAATTTTCTCATCTAAGAATTCTTAATAGAGAAAGAAAAAAAATTAAATTGTTTGTAAACAGACATTTTAGAAATTGTAAAGACTGAATTACTGGGAATAAAATATATGAGAGAGTTTTGAAAAGGAAAAAAAAAAATTAAATGGTGATTTATTTTAGAAGAGAAAGAGCAGAAGTTTTTTTTTTGTTTGTTTTATTTCTTATAATGTTCCCCACCCAGAAATATAATCTAACACCTTACTTCATACACCACCCTTTGTTCTCAAGTAATGAAACTGAAAATTGACACCTCAGTTTGCTAAAATGCTTTCTAAGTTATAAATCAATTTGTATAAATTGAAAATAATAACAACAATAGATAAATAAAAACACCAACTGTGCAGTATATCAACAAAGGCTATGGTTCCAAGTCAAAAGGAATTCTATAAATGAGTGTGTGTTTCAAATAAATAGATACAGTATGTGGAAATATAAGTTATATAAAAAAAAAAGAAAAAAAAAAAAGAGAAAAACTACAATAAATACCTTTAACAATATAAGTTGTATATCAGAAATGCACTTGTGTGTATATGCAGGCATTTATAAAATGATATATACAGAGAGATTTGTCAACTCGATTGACTACAATCAACAAAGGTAAATAAGTCCAAAAGCAGTAAACAAGGAATTATGAGAGTTCCATCATAATCTCAATGAGTAAATGGAAATTTTGAAAGAATTATGTACACATTTCTGAAAGAAATCCATTCATCTCAGCATGAAATCTAGAAATACAAATCACCCCTAAGATTGTCAAACTACAAATATGCCAAAACTAGTGACATATTTATTATTTATAGGAATGCAAAAGTCTAGGCTTATTACTGAGAGAAAGAAAGAATCAAGAAATAAACAGCTAAGCGTGCATATCTATTTCAAGAGGAATGGATTTTAAGCAACAGAGAATTGGTACATGCAAAGATCTTGAGAGGAACAAGTCTTCTTGCTTTTTATACAACAGATGAAGTGAAATGTTAAAATGCTGCAAGCACTAAAAGAAGTGGTATTATTTGGTCCTTCCATTATTTGACAAATCATCTCTTCCTTACAAAAAAAAAAAAAAAAAAAAAAAAAAGAAAAAAGAAAAAAAAAAAAAAGTAATATAAAATAATTATCACTTTCAAAATTTATGCTAAAATTCCATGTTCATGTCATTTGAGTGTCAAAGGTTATAGCCATGATCTCAGAAGGGGACTTAAGACCAAGAACAAAAATTAATTCAGTATAAGTTTGTCAGATGTAAAAGTACTTTTTGAAACTAAATACATAAAAGCTGTGTGAGAATTATTCTAAGTTCCTTATTAAATATTACATCCCATGATTTTGTGATATTTTCACTAAATGCACAGGAAGAAAAAAAGGAAGAAAAAAAAAAAAAAAAAAAAAAAAAAAATATCAAACAATAGGAGACATGCTTCCACTAAAATAAATAAATACGCCAAAACGCATACTTAACCTAAACTGACTTACATGTAAGCTGAAATCATTCATTCGTATTAGTATCCGAGAGAATAAAATGTCCTGAGGACAGCTTTACCTAATAAATTAAGTGATTTACGAAGAGAGAAGACTGCATATAAAAATGTGAAGGTAATGAAAAGTCCTCAGCCCAACCAAAAAAAAAAAATAAATAAAAATAATACAGTCATGTTTGGCCATATTTTTGAAAGTGACTAGCAGCATTTCCTTACAATAAAAGGAGTAAATCAATGAATATTCTCCCCCATCCCATATATATATATATATATATATAGGGTATGTTATATTTATGGGTAAAAGTGCTCAATATCAGGGATAGAGCATATGTATACATAAAAGGTAGACATTGAGGTAAACACCCAGCAGCAACAGTCTGTTTCATGCTTAAGCACAATCATGGCCTGAAAATTACGTTTAAGCTTGAAACAGGCCATCACTATTGGGTTTAGAACTCAATGTCCACTTTTATATTTACATATGCTCTATCCCTGATATTGAGCACATTTACCCACAAATATAGCAAACCTTAAAATTATATATATATATATATATATATATATATATATATATGAAAATCAATAAAAGGCTATTTTCAGTAGAGTGCTCTATAAAAGCCAAGGAATGTAGGCAGCCAGCCTTTGTTATCAGTGAATTTTATCTTCTGATTAATCATTCAAATCTTACTGGTAGGATATTTTCTTTTAAATGTAATTCTACCTTTATGAAACTCATTATACAGAAATGAAGACTGATGCACAGTCATAAAGCTCTGTAGTTGAAAGGAATAAAAACATTTTGATTGATAGATATGAACAGACAGACAATGGTAACTAGAGAGGAAGCAGAGAAGTATGAGTAAAAGACAATATTAAGTGCTGGTCATAAAGAATAAGAAATGATTGAGGAGAAATGATAGCGCTACAGAAAGATGAGTCCAAAGAGAATCAAGAAAGAGAAGAAGAAAAAAAAAAACATAAAATTTCATCAGGTTTCCCCACCACAAGAGACCAAGAGAAACAGAATCCTATTTATTAGTAGACAATTCCTCCCTGTTTGTGTGTAAATCTCAGGATGGGTTTGATGCTTTCAAGAATGGTTTGAAATAAAACTGGTTAATTTGCTTATGAAAAGCTATCAAGTAAACAGAAATATTAAACCCCAAATAAAGAGAGCAACTCTAAGTATTTTTTTTAATCTGAGGGATCCACTGTATGTGGTGGCTAAGGTAATTGTGTATTAGCCATAGACATCAGTGTTCAAATACAGGAGAAATCCACAACAAGGGCTAAATTTTCTGAAAAAGCCAGATCTTTCTGACCTAGATATTTGGAGCAACACAATCTTTCTATGCACCACCTACAACCTATTTGTTTCAATTTTCCCCTCTGCTAGACTAACACAAATTATATATGCAATACAAAACACAACATCCCCCACCCACCACCAGATCCCAAATTTTTTTTAGCATTTTGGTAAACAAAAGCTAAGTTTAATAAATAGATAGCATAAGAATAAGGAGACAGTATTTCTCCTGGGGTTGGACTGAGGAGAAAGGTACACATCCGCTATAAACAGCAAAGCATTGGATGACAGGATGGAAATAGGCATTGGATATGAACAGAGACAGTCAGGTTGGAAGGGGGGGGGGAAAGAAAGGCAAAAAGAAAACCTAAGAGTGAAAGATTGGTAAAGAAATGATGGAAGATATAAAAAGGTGAAAATCAAAAGTAAGTAACAATATTAAAAAAAAAATAAAATAAAATAAGATAATTAAAATGTATAATACAATATCCAAGTCATACTCCATCTCCATAACAGCTAATAACAAACAATCCTAATTCATTCCAAAAATGGTAAATTTAACAATTACTGAAGAAAAAAAAAGTTTCCACTTCATAAGTATGCTAACTGGTATAAAAATGACATTTAACTAAATTAAATTAGTGTTATAATGATTGATAACAGTGTTATAATGATTGATAACAGTGTTATAATGATTGATAACAGTGTTATAATGATTGATAACAGTGTTATAATGATTGATAACAGTGTTATAATGATTGATAACAGTGTTATAATGATTGATAACAGTGTTATAATGATTGATAACATTGTTATAATGATTGATAAAGTGTTATAATGATTGATAAAGTGTTATATTGATTGATAACAGTGTTATAATGATTGATAACAGTGTTATAATGATTGATAACAGTGTTATAATGATTGATAACAGTGTTATAATGATTGATAACAGTGTTATAATGATTGATAACAGTGTTATAATGATTGATAACAGTGTTATAATGATAACAGAAAGAAAAATAATCATTCAAATAAATTTAATTTTAGATAAATACTGGCAATACAAATTTGTTCGCAAAAAACTGAACAACATTTAATAAATTTCAAAGAGAGATTAAACTGCTACAAAAAAGTAGATTTTGAACAAATAGACAATAAAAAACACATTCATTAAAAAAGAAAAAAAAAAATCTAGAACATTATCTGAGAATAGTTCCATGGAGCGGTAATCTTTTATAAGAAACTGTTTATTGATTGTAGGATTTTCGTTCATGGCTTAATCAAAATAACGAGAGAAAATTGTGTCTGCGACAATTCTTCATAATAATCACTAATTCAAATGAAGGCATTATAAAAATTTACAAAAACCTGAATGGATTTTGGATTTTCAAATATGACTAAATTTATTATCGACATTTGCAGTGACAAAGAAAAAAAAAAAGAATAGAAAATAGCTTGAAATAATCAATAGACCAGAAGCAAAAATGGTGTTTTTCTTCTTTTTGTTTGTCTAGTCAGATTTTTCACATTATTAAAATAATTTTACTCTAAAATTAAAGCATATTCATTGTTAATCCATCAACTTGGCATTAAATTGGAAATGCCTATGACAAGTTGCTGAAAGTATCAGTGTAATGAACTGGGCAGAGGCAAATTGAATATTAATAGAAAGAAATGGATATTACCAGAAGGATTTATTATAGATTTGTCCTAAACATCTGAACCCTCACCCCCCCCCCCACCTTCCCTGGTGTTTCCAGTGAATTGCAAAATGTAGCAACATTCATCCATACATGTGATACACTTTTAATTTGCAGGACAATGTAATCAGGTTCCGGATTTGGAAAGGTAACCAAGAATTCTGAAAGAGATGATGGCAGCCTAGGGAGCAGAGGCACACCCAATCCTATATTGTTAGGTATGTTATTTGCTATTTCAAATGTAACTTCAATTCCCGCCCACTCTTCATTTAGCCATAAATGATTATACCTTCCAGTAAGTGGAGACAGACATCTTAGATCATGGTATAACTATTTGGGAAGTAGTAGACAGGATCAAGATTACTGTAGGGGTTTGTGGAGGTGGGGGGGTCATTTATAAACACGTGCATATGCAGAAAGTGAAGTTTGTTACATATTCAATACCTTTCCCAAAGGAAACCACAATTTAACTTATCCCAAGATTTTTGGCCAATCTATCAAGAAAACTAAGAGAAATCTTTCACCAGACTAATTATACACAATGGAAACATGGGTTCATTGTTAAACCAGAAAGTAAAGCACCATTCAGGAGTCAAAAAGGCAAGATAATGGTCAAACTCTTCTGGGAACGTGGGGGTGGGGGTGTTTGGAGATTTTTTGGCTAAAGGTACGACACAAACCAGAGCTTATTTTATTCCTCATTGCCATTGAAATTATAAGCCATCAAAACCTATTGACATTGTAGGCTCAATAGTGATTCCTATATCATAAAAATTGAAACAGGCTCTTATGGTAATAAAATTCCCTCCCCTCATTGCCTAATAATCTGACTTATTTATATCTTCTCCATGAAGTTATATCTGAAAGGCAGAACTCTCAGTTTGATGGCACACAGATTCATTAGGTAGAGTTTTGAGGTTTTTTTTTTTTGTTGAAGTCCCAACCTGCAGATTCCTGCAAGAAAGTTTGATGCACTTTGTGGAGACCGATAGAAATGTTTGAATATATGCTCTAAACAAGAGAAGGATTATTACAGGGTTTTTTTTTTGGGGGGGGGGTGTATGCTAATATTGAGTCCCTCATCAACCGGAAATCTCTAATCAATCATCACTCATAAGGGCAAGGCATTTTCAAGAGGTTTATATTTACAAAAATGTAATACAGAATATATATATATATATATATATATATATATATATAGGGGGGGTTAATTTAGAAATTATCAAAGTGCTTCTTGTTTAAATAATTGTACATTATTAGGCCTTTAAACCAAATAGAAGCACCTTTACTATCATTATATATATATATATATATATATATATATATATACACACACACAAAGTTTGTGGCCACCCTGCAGATTTAGTAATTAGTCAGTATTAATTAAACCAAGGAACACATGAAACTTATTAAACTAGAATACTGAAACAATCTGACCCATTAATGCAATTTTTATGGGGGCAGATGGTTACATGAAATCTAAAATTCACAGTTTATAAGATAACCAATATCCAGGAAGGTAGGTTAGGCAAAAAGAGCTAAAATTGTAAAGAAACTTTACATAGTAATATGGTTAACTTAATTATTATTGTTATTATTGAATATATAATCATGACCTTCAGAACGAGAAGGTCCCTTCCAGACATAAATGAACTAGGAAATTAATTTTGAAACAGATGTGCAACCTTCAAAATCCTGAAGGTAGCCTCAAATTTTACACTTACAGTGTGTGTATATATATATATATATATATATATATATATATATATATATATATATATATATATATATATATATAAAATTAGTACAAATAAAATTTATCCTTTAGCTAACTGTTGTTATATTCAGTATGTCAACTTCTTCAGAGTTTTGTATACCAACCTTTTAGTAATCATTCAAGTCCACTCATCAGGAAGTTTCAGAAAAAAATAGAAAAAAATGAATCTTTTCACTACCCTCAAAGTATTGAATCTTTTCCGATCAAAGCAAAATTGAAAATTAAAAGCTATTATATGGACGAAGATAATAATGATCATGATTACGTAAGGAAATACGTTCAATAGTAGTTGTTCTTTGATTCAATGTTAAACTGAGTTTTGTCAACTTGATCAGTCCTGAATTTAAACCATTCATTTGTATAAAATGATAACTTAATATTATTGACAGAGATGAGACAAAAAGAAAAGGAACCTCATTTCAGATTTTGCCAATAGCTTGATCCACATATGCATAAAGGCTGTTACATTATTAGACCCCATCTTGGAGGCATGCAAGAATGAGTAAACCAAATAGGAACAGGTGAAGAGGACAGGAACATCAGCAGAACCATGAAAGTTGGAAAGAGGAATGGTGGTAGCAGGAGATGAGACCCTGATGGAGTTGGAGGTGGGGGCCAATAATAAGAAAGAAAAACAGCAAAAAACTCAACCCCTTGGCAGTGAGCAAGGCAGTCAAGAACAAAGAAATGTCTGTGTTTTGAAACCTCATACCAAAAAGGCAGGCTTTGACCTAAAGCAAGCTCCATGAACTCTAAAATATTTCGGTAATCATCCTAGGAATAGCTAAGGAGAAGTGTTCTTACTCTTAGTATAAACCTGATAGCCTTGCTCAGGAGAAAGAGTGCGTGTGTGAGTTAGTGAGTGAAGGAGATAGCTACAAAAGCCTACTTGCCGTCATGCATGTGTATCTCTAGATTTGCTCATGAGTGTAAATGAAGCAAAGAGGAGGAGCATGTTGTGGGGAGGGACAAAAAGAGTGAGCAAAGAAGAGTTTGAGAAGAGCCAGTTGGATGATCTAATGGCAGGCAGATGATGGGAGGTAAGTCAGGGTGGAGGATGAAGAGAAAGGCAGGTGATGGCAGTGGTGATAATACTTGTGCTTTAAGTGAATTGGGATTCTTTTTTTTTTTTTTCCTGCCTTGTTTGCTAGTGCAAGTTAGATAAACTATGAGAGAAAATAGTTGCGGCATCAAGAACATGCCTTGCAGTGTAAACACAGTGTGCAATTTCAACACATCTTCACTTTTTCTTTTTTATAAATACATACATATGTTCTAAATATATTATGGAGTGAAAGGCTTTTTTCTGGTGTGGGAGGCACTGGAGAATTTTCACATAGTTAAAAACAGGATTGGAGAAGGCCGGAAGCAAGTGAGACATGGATTATTATGAATTTTTGAAACAACATTATGATAAGTAAGATCCTATTGAAAACAATCAACTGGTAAAATGCAGCCCCTCTTTCTAACATGCTCTAATTATCTCTTCTTTAATATTATCTTTATCAAATCTAAGTTCATTAAAGGTCACTACTGATAGGTTTTTTATTTATTAAGGAGAAGAAAAAAAAAAAATTAGCATCATCTGAAACTGTTTCAAGTGCTGTTTTTGTGCCTAAAAGGTTTTCTAGTTGCAAGGCTTCAAAATGACCAACTTCCCAGACATCAGATTTTTTTATAGAATAATTTCTTTTAGCACAGCTGAAAGATTTTCAGCACCATCTTTTCTCTCTCATGATTATATATATATATATATATATATATATATATATTAAAATGGAGAGGTACAAAAATTTATCTTAGGATAAATATTTACTGCATTGCTACTGCAGTTTTACCACTTGTATCTTTAGGCAGCTTCAATTATATTGAGCACTTTTTAAATCTGCTAGGACTGGTCACTTTTGGGGTAAATATAATTGATCTATATGAGTGTAGTCACATTTTATATATGTGTGTGTGTGTGTATATATATATATATATATATATAAATAAAATGGAGAGGTATAAAATTCATCTTAGGATAAATAATTACTGCATTGCTACTGCAGTTTTACCTCTTATACCATTTAGCTGGAGAGGAAGTGCCTGGTTAGTAAGGTTCCTCTGTAGCTAAATGGTATAGCACGTCAGGCCATATGACGGTTCCGTGTAGGATACAAGTTTGATTCCTATCAGGACACATTTTCTTTAAGGTTTCGGACATTCAGGCTGGTAAATGTTGTTAATACTGTTTATTATAAACAGAGCATTTACTTAAATATTTGTATCTCTAAAAATAATGTATAAACAATATATTAAAATAATTAATCCATTTCATTATATATATTATATATATATATATATATATATATATATATATATATATATATAAAAAAAGATAATATGTTTTTGTAACATCAGTTCTTTTTATTTTGAGAAAAATATCCATCAATTTCCATATTTGCCAATAAAAAAATTGAAAACCTTTTCGAAGTCGAGACTCTTTAAAAACTATATTATAAAATACTGCAAAAACTCATTTATCCTTTGTGGCATCAAATATTTATCTTATGAAACCTAAATAAAAAAAAAAACGTAGACTTACTTTCATTAACAAAGACAATTATCAAAGTTTTCATTAGATTTCCACTTTCTCATCATAAACACTTTATAATGTTTTTCTTTTTGGGGAAATCCTCGTGGATTGATGTTTTTGCTTTTTTCAAAAAGACACCAGAGCAAAGATGGGATAGGAAAAGTACAATAAGTCTCTAAGAGCCACTCAAGGTAGAGGGTTACAGAGTAAGAAGCAACACCCAAAGCAAAGAGATGATACAAGGAGCTGCTGGAAATGAAAGAGAGAGAAAAGGTTTTAGAAGGAACTGGAAACCCAATCCTAAACAGAAAACAAGGGATAAACCTCTACCCTTGTTCAAAAAACTGGAGAGGAGTGTAAATCAGATGATAGGCAAACCTATCTACTCCTATTGAGAAAAGAAAAAAAAGAAATAAAAAGTTAAATAGTAAATAAAATTTCAGAGTTATGGGTGGAGACGTTAGAAGAATAGAGTCAGTGTAGACTTTAGAAGGAACCGGAAACTCAATCCTAAACAGAAGTCAAAGGATAAGTCTCTATTACTGTTCAAAGAAGCAGGGAGGAGTGTGAACCGGATGATAGGCAAAGCTATCTAGCAATAAAAGAAACATTAAAAAGTGACAGAATTTGATACCAGCACTGGAATAAGGAATACAGAAAAGGCAGAATAAGTAATGATAGTAAGGTTTATTTAGGATCCAACTTTTCAAGATAAAATTGCCTAGTTTTGAATTGAAAATTAAAGTTTAGAAAAGAAGAATGTTCTATTTCTTCTCTCAATTGTTAATTAGAGGATTTTCTTAAGTATCCGTTACACAGAGTAATAGCTGATTATCTTCTAAACCGCATGGTAGAGATTAAAATATGTTACATTCAAAGTATACACAGTAATAGAGAGACAAAGACATTCACTATTTATAAACAAAATCTTAAAAAAAAAAAAAAAAAAAAAAAAAACAACAAGCATGTGTGCTAGGCAGCACCAGAGGAATTATTAGGAGAGGGAGGATGCACGCTGACCTTAAAAGCCAGTGACATTTTCATTCACAAAGTGCTTTAGAATAGGGCTGTGTTTTTAAGATATTTTCATAGTGCTAAACAAAGATTGAAGACTGACTTTGGGAGTTGGAATGGATGCATAAATAAATAAAATAGTGAGAATTCAGTAGAGATACTCACAGCTCTTACAAAACCTCTTTGGGGATCCATGAATTCTACTGAAGAATTGGTCAAAATACTCCATGTACGAATTTACTCATTGTTTTAATTATTGAATCAATATGGATTTTCTTAATGTTCTTTTAATCATTTCATTCAAGGTCCACAACAAAAACTGAAAATGTTTTTTTACATTTCAAATATAACCAGAAAGAATTAAAGTCTTCTGTTAATTTTCACACACACAACATAATCATTAAATTACAAATTAAGCAAAACAGTACATTAAAATTTCCATTTTAAATTATCCCTCTCTCTCCGAATCAATAAAAGTTAGAGAATTACTTGTAGCAGATAATGACGTGTGGGGAAAATTCTCAACCTGACCAAAAAGGTGTTATTCCAAATCAAAATCTGATGTTTGGTCAGGTTTTGGGAAGTGAGCATGATGAGGCGGTGAGAAATTTTCAGCACCTCCTCATGCGTGTATAAAAAGAAAGAAAAGGAAAAAAAAATTAGAGAAAAGATAAAGAAAAAACTTCACTGAAATAAAAATAAAAAAAAATTTCAATTAAAATAATTTTTTTTTTTTTTTTTCAATTTTATAATCAAGAAGAAAAATTCTTTTTTGCAGTGGAATCTGCATTGGTTGTCGCTTCTCATTAATCTGATTTCCCTCTCTTTAACAAAACAAATAAAATGCGAGACTAGCACATGTAACAGAATTATCATTAGACACTTGTAATTAGGGAACATGTTGGAATTCATGAGGTTGGCCAATGTTAGACAGTCGAAAGGGGATGAGAGCCCAGGGGAGAAAAATCATCATTAACATTATCATTATTAATACAATGATCAAAGCATTTTTGTTATTTTCATCAATCACTCTGTTTTGTCCACTCACTTACTTACTTACTTACTCCCCCCCCCTCCATCATAAGGATACATGTCAACAAACAAAATGAAAATTTCAGAAATTTTAAGAAATAAAGGACAAGAGTTTACAAGGGAACACTGATAAAACCATTTTTGGATTCAATGTCCTTTCACAAAGAATGTATAAACAAATAACTTGTATCACTTTATTTAAAAAGGTTTCATTGAATAATATAGACATTATCTCTACTTATTTTTATACTGATTTTTTCTAACCCAAGTACTTTCGATCCTATCCAAGATCATCTTCAGGAGTAAATTTTAAAGACAAACTTATTGTAATTTCTATAAAATCTGCATTCTGTTGTGATTTTTAAAAACACATGCAAACATTCACTCTGTTATAGTTATTTTAAAACTTAAAATTTATCTGTTGTAGTTATGGAATTTTTTTTTTGCAAAACAAGCATTTCAATATAAGGGAGCTGACCAGAAATTGGTAGAAATATAAAATGGCATTAAATGTGTCTTATATGCACTTTAATATGTTGCTACTATATTCAAAATAAATTTTGTTGAGTGTTGGTTGGTTGATTTTGAGAATTTAAAGTTTTTGTTTGTTATTTTTGTGATGTAGTAATATTGGTGTTGTCAACAAGTATTTTCCTGTATTGTGAAGATGGACAGGAATGTGTTTTTAGATGTTGTGCAATAGATCTTTGTTTATGAAGATATTGATGTATTTTCACTACTTCATCAAAGAACCCATTACTGTCCATTTCCAGCTACTCAGATATTTTTTTTTGGTTTCAATTAAATGTACGTCTTATGCTGAACAAAGATAAGGAATGATGACTGCCAATTTGTCATTTTTATCTTATTTTATTTATTTATATTTATTTTTATCTTATTTTATTTTACAAACATACATGACTGAATCAATAAACATGTAGCCTGAGAGTTATTTGTTGAAATTAGATATAAAATTTTTAGTGTATAATGTTGAATCTATTTAACAGAAAAGCTATGGCTTAAATGCATTGCTAAGGAAGAAAACTTAACATAAAATAAATACATTTTATGTAACAAAATTGTTCTTTTACTCGAAGAGATGTTTTTGTAAGAGAGAACATAT